CCCTGTTCCTGCTATTACTGTAAGTAATTGAAAGAAACAAACTGTTTTAACTGCAACCATTTACCTTTTGTAACCTGTGATTTTGGTGGGTTTTTTTTTCCCTTTTATGCACCTCTTTCTCTCCCACACTTGAGGTGTGTCAGGGTGAGCAGATTGTGAGGCAGGTACCTCATGAGGCCTTGGCCATCAGCTGTTCCAGCAGCATTGCTGTGTCCCAGTGGCAATGGACACAGGACCCTGAGCTGTCACGGGCTCTGGCTGCTCCTTCAGAGCATTGAGCTGCCCCTGGATCCCAGGATTGGAGCATCCTGGGATAGTGGAAGTTGTCTCTGCCCATGGCAGAAGGTGGCACTGGATGGGCTTTAGGGTCCCTTCCAACCCAAACCAGTCTGGGATTGATTCTTTGCAGGTTTTAAAGCATGGGCTGAGATGTAGAATCCCTTCAGAATCAAAAATTGGCATCTTAGTGCTGGAAGAACCCGCTTGTGTTTCATTTTTAACTTCTACCAGTCACAAGATGCTACCCAGGATTAATTTGATACTAAAAATAAACCCTGTAGCTTTCCAAAGGCGGTGAAAGAAACTGAGTGACATGCAAAATACCTTGTAAATTAAGGCTGAAAATGGGAGGGGGGGCACAAAACACATTCCCATCCAAGTGGAGGAGCTAAGGGAGATCTACTTGTCATCATCTTCCAGTTTTAATCCCCAGCTATTTCTGCCTGCAGGGATTGATTACCTGTGTCAAAGCCAAGCAGCACTTCCCCCATTTTGGCTCAGAATGTGCAGTTTTGGGACCCCGTGAGCAGGCCATTCCACCCCTGAGGAAGGGCCTGGCTGTGGGGTTGTGCTGTGCTCTCAGGGGGTTTGGAGGCTGCAGGTGCTGCAGGAGCAGGGCACGTTCCCCTGCCCGAGGTGCTCCTGACTGTTCTAGAGCAGGGCTGTGGCATTAAAGCTTTGGGTGATATTGATCTTGTCGGTTACTATGACTTCTTTTTTTTTTTCCCCCCTTCAATTGCATCATACCCTTAAAAAATGGTGGTAAGTGAGAGCTCTGCATGCTTTGGAGTTTGTTTAACCTCCGCTTCAGTCTATACAACGCACAAGTCATAACGTTAACACTCTTGAAAACTTCCTCATTCACGTTCACAACTAATTTGGATTTCAGTTTGCTGTTTTGAACCTTTTCTTTAGTCTGATTTTGTACTGGTTTTTCTGTTGTTCTGTTGCCCCTGGTTTCGCTGAGGGTTCGGTCTGTGTCTGTACTGTACTGGGGATGCTTTGCCAGCTCTTAACGGCTGACCAGGAATTTCCCTTGGTCTTTTTGTCTCTGGTTTAGGTTAGAGATGGGACAGGGAGGAGTGGTGGGGATCCACCAAATAAAGTATTCCCAGTAGGCTTTTTTGTGGGATCTTCGTGAGGAATCACCAATGGCAGCCTTTATAAATTTGAAGCTGCTTTTTTTTTTTGTTTGTTTGGTTTTTTTTGACAACACAAACTTGCTGATCTGAAACAGGCACTTAAATCTTTGAGCAGAGGAGGGGAAATGGGTATTTTGTAGCGAGTGTCCTCGGTGCAGTTTGCTATTGCTGAAGTCCAACCAAACAAACTCCCAAAGCAGTGGGCGGTGCTGTTGGAGCCGAGCGGGGTGCCAGAGGCAGCGCTGGCACCGGGGCCGGGGCTCGCTGTCCCTCCGGGCTCGGCCCGCCCGGAGCGCGGAGCTGGGCTGCTCTCGGATCCTTCATTCCCAGAGATGTTTGGGAAGGAAGCCGTAGATTCCTCTGCTGTGCTTTGTGTTTGAGTACCTGATGTGTCTCTGTATATCTCACTGTATATACAACAGCACATTGATGTCTGGCTGTCCTTCCTGGTCCCAGTTCTCTGTACCGTGTCCGATAGTTACTGTTGCTGGTACTGGAATTCTGTGGACACCGGTGTGTCGCTAGTCTGTTACTTTGGCTGTAAAGCTCTTGGTTTGTGGTTAGTTCTTTATTTTTGGAGTATTTTTTGTTCTGGTCACTGTCTGTGCTAGCGGTGGCTTTGCCTCTCCGTTGCCTGGAGGGCCCAGGTGGAGTAATGTCCCCTCTCCCTGACATTACTCCTGGCGTGTGCTCATGCGGATGCCTACACTGTAAGACTGTAATTTCCATAACTGCTTCATGTGCACTAAGCACCCTTGTGGAATCCTGCTGAGAGTTTCTCAAAGACTTCCCTGAAAAATCCCTCCGGCACGAGGTGGGAACGGCAACTGTCAAGTGCCAAAGCCAGCAGGGCCTGAATTGGTCCCCCCAAAATCCATCTGTGGGAGCATTGGGCTCCTGGATTGACTCTTGTACTGTTGTGTAAATGCATTTTTGTCTTCTGTACTACAGTGTGGGAGAAAACAGTGTTTGAGAATTCAAAAAAAAAAGCCCAATTGGTCGTGAGAGTTAATATGAAACATTGCTCATTGGCAGATTTCCCCCACCCCCCGCCCGTTCCTAAACGAGTTGTGCCAAGGGCCATGGGCAGGACGATGCTGTCAGTCCTCTGCAGCTGAAGTGTGTCCTGAGGTGTCCCAGCACCCCGATTCCCCTGGTGACATCGGATGCTGCTGCCCAAGGACCATGGCTGGGGCTGGAGTCGAGTGTTCCCCTTCAGCCTCCTCCTGACCTGGTCCCTTCTAATTAAACATTGAGAAAAATGGGGAAGGTAGAGGTTGTTTCATCTGTGGGGGAAAATGAGTGTGGGGTATATACCCTCTAGGGTATATACCAGGAGTTACCCTTCAGCAGTGGAAAAATGGCTTAAAAATTAAACCACATGTTTAAAAAAGTCAATGCAAGCAAACATCCAGCAGGATTTTACAACTGAACCGTTGGTTTGTCTCCTCATCTATTTTTTATGAGATTGAACCACTGGAACTTGGGGACAAGATGAGTCTTGACCATGTTGCACCAATCTGTCCGCTACAGTTGCAGTCCTTCATGACCAGCATTCCAAGTGTTAACTAAACCCATTGAAGCAACATACCTGCCATTAAACCCGACTCCAGAGCAGTAACTCCATGATCCTTGCACTCCCGACTGGAATGGCCTTTGATGCTGTAGATAGATCACTTTGCTGCTCATGTTGCAGCCCCTTGCAAACACTGACTCTCTTTTTCTTTCCTTCCCTTGTCTCTGCCTGGGTGCCTCGGGATGCTTGCTGCAGATGATGAACCAGCTGGGCCAATGTAAGTGTGTTTTCGGGGAAAAAATACTCCTTGGGTTAATCTGGGGGGTTGTGGGAGGTGATAAATCATAGGATTGATATTGCATGTGACATTACAGATGGTGTTGGACCGTCTGGTGCGTTTCTTAGCACTGCAGGAAAGAAAAGCAACATCTTGCTGGAAAACAAATATTGTGCTAAAATGCAAAGTCTAAAACCGTGTTGTCTTCAGCCAGTTAAAGGAAGACTGAAACGCTGCCTAATGAAGCACAAATAACGTCCCTTTTTCCTGTACCTGTGCCTGATTTTTGCTGCATTTCTCTCTCGTCCCTTTCTGCAGGAAAACCAATTCTACAAACAATCACAAAGACAAAAACTTACGTCAGAGAAACACAAATTAAAAATGCTCATCATGTAAGTACCGCCCCGGGCAGGCCCAGCCCCGGTGCCCGCGCTGGGGGCGCGGCAGCAAAGGGTTAGACATTGTTCAACATGTTAAACGTGTTAAACATTGTTCAACACTGTTCAACATTGCCGCTGCGCCTCGGGGAGCGCGGGACCGCCCTTGGTTTCCTCCCGCAGGCGGGTGGTTTAAGGAGCTGCTTGCTAACATGTAGACAAAGCTGCCGAGCCCCCCAGCCCGGCTGGCGGAGCTGCGGCTGTCGGGAGCCCCGGTGGGAGCGGGGGTTGCAGGCTGCGGGCTCGCGCTGTTCACCATTGACTAGCACCTCTTTCTCGTTTCTTTTTTAGAGCTTTAAGTTTCTGAGAGACTGATGGCAATATGACCTGCTAAATTTAAGGGTTGGAACTCTTGGTTCTAGAACTCCAGTTCTGTCTGATTTCTTTTTTTTTTTTCCTTTCCTTTCCAAGTGAGCAACAATATGACTGTCTAACGCATGCCTTATTTAGCCTCTCCTGCAAGGATGACCTAGCCAGATGAATTTTAATAATGCTTCCGTGTAGAAGGTGTAAACTCTTTTGGGCTTGATGTGCTGTGAATGTTGCTTTTTTTTCCTCCTTTCCTCTCTTGACACGAGCAGTAGCCAGGCGGGTTCACGCATGCGCAGTTTTTTACTTCCTGTAGCTGTTAAATTCGGCACCGCTCAAACCGCACCGCTGCCATCTAGTGAGACTTCTTTTGTAAAGTACAGCAAAACTTAAAGATATATACAGTATATATTTATATTTGGGGGAGGGGAAACCAGAAGTCGTTGTGGTTCATTTTGAAGCTGCTGATATTCATTCCTTACTGTATGGCTGGAAGGAGGGAGTGATGCCGGCCGGTGCTCGCAGCAGGGCCATTGGATTTCCTTAAGGGCTTTAACCAAGGAGCGCGGGCTGTCCTGTTGGGCGTCGGGGCTGGGTGCTGCCAGGGGCTGCTGCTGGTGGTGGGATGCAGTTGGAAACAAAAACAAACCTTCAGTTTATAAATATATATATATGATTGCTTTTTAAGTGATTTTTTTTTTTTTGTTAACTCATGTAAATTCTCAAATCCTTTTGCACTGATGTGTTCGACATATTCTTGTACATTCAATTCAGGCAAACTTTTATAATTTTCTTTTTTTTTTTTTTTTGTTTAAATGATGAAATGTTACAGCATGGTGATATTCTATGCAACTAGTTATTCCTCTTTAGTTTGACACTGTAATTTCTCATGATTTAAAGATTGTAGAAATAGACCTACCAGGGTTCTCATGATGTGCGTAACTGTAGCTGCATGAACTCGTGTTCCGTGTATTTGTTGAAGTGCAATGATGTATAAAAAGTGGATTCACCTGTTTTTAAAAATAAAACACCGACAAAAACCGCTGTAGGTCTCATTTTTCAACCTTTAATCAGCAGAGCTGCGTGCACCCCGGAGCGCCGGGCGTGCCTCACTCCTTGGCCAGTCTGTGCAGCTCCTTCTCCACGTCCTCCACGAAGGCGGGGAAGTGCTGGTCCATGAGGCACAGGCGGATGAAGGGCCCCAGCTCGCGCGCGCTCCAGCCCGGCTGCCGCAGCGCCGCGGGCAGCTCCGGCCGCTGCCGCAGCACCCACTGCAACGGGGCGGGAAGGGGCCTGAGCTGGGACCGAGGACACAGCCACCCCCCAGCCCTCCCCGTGCTGGGGAGCATGGAGCTGCCTGAGTTAGATGCTCTCAGAGTGCTGTCAGTCAGCTGGGATTGCTGTGTGTGAGCTTTTCTCTGATGCCCAGGTGTGATTGCATGTAGCTTTCACACACTGTCAAATGCCCCTGCAGTTATTTCAGTTGGGACACGAGGACACAGCCAGCCCCACACTGTCAAATACCCCTGCAGTTAGTTCAGTTGGAAGTGTCCCAGCCCTGAGCTGGGACCGAGGACACAGCCAGCCCCACACTGTCAAATACCCCTGCAGTTAGTTCAGTTGGAAGTGTCCCAGCCCTGAGCTGGGACACGAGGACACAGCCAGCCCCAGCCCTCCCCGTGCTGGGGAGCATGGAGCTGCCTGAGTTAGATGCTCTCAGAGTGCTGTCAGTCAGCTGGGATTGCTGTGTGTGAGCTTTTCTCTGATGCCCAGGTGTGATTGCATGTAGCTTTCACACACTGTCAAATGCCCCTGCAGTTAGTTCAGTTGGAAGTGGACCCTGGAAATGCCAATTTCCTGTGGGTATCCATCCTGTAATCAGTGTACACTCTCTGAGCTGTACATGCTGCCACATGGATTGTGTAGGGATAACCAAGTGTGCACTTCCAAGCTTTTCATTTAGCCAGATGTCTTTTAGAAGGTATGGGGCTTTTATGTTAAAACTTCCTTTTTATCCCTGTTTAATCCCCTCTCAGCTTTTTCCCATGGTGGTGGGTGAACTCTGGGCATCGTGGCACTGGGGTTGGAATGAGGTGACCTTTGAGTCCCTTCCAGTCCAGCCCAGTCTGGGATTCTGTGCTGTCATTCTGTGATGACTACGAAGGAGGAAGACACAGAGAAGGACCTGCACTAAAGCAGAGCAGAAAAGAGCAGTTTTCTGCCCATCTGCTCCTGCACTGGCCTGAATTCCAGTAAATGAGCAGTTAATTCCAGGTATTTACCCGGAACTGCTCAGTGAAGCTGTCCATGGAATATGGGGATGCTTTCCTGTGGGTCAGGGTTGAGAAGGGTCATGGAGAACCTCAGAGCCCCTGCCAGTGCCTAAAGGGGCTCCCAGAGAGCTGGAGAGGGACTGGGGACAAGGGAGAATGGCTTCCCACTGCCAGAGAGGAGGGTTAGATGGGATATTCTGTGATTCCTTGATTGACGTTTTCAGGCTTCAGCTCTGATCTGCACAAGTCATTTCTGCAGAGTTAAACCAGTGCCAGAGCCATTCATTTGGATGTTGCCTCTGGGTATTTGTTTGCTCTCAGTGTGTCATTTGTTCCTATTCAAATGGGGTGATTACACCACCAAACACCTTGTTCTGCTGCTTATTCCCTGGCTCTGCATCATTACACAGATCCAGTGTTTTGCTGGTGTAGATGATGGCATCCCAGTGTTCAGGGAAGGCATTTCCCAGATGGAATCTCAGACAGCTCATTCTCAGGCTCAGTTACAGACTCCAAACAGGAGATGTTTGTTTTTTACCTGTGCAAGCTGTGCTACAGATCTTCTTTCTCCAAGGCTTGTGCAGGAGTCTGGGAGAGGCTCATCTGGCTAGAAAATACCAAATGCAAATAAGGGCTTGTTACCAAGCAGTGTGGGTATGTGCAGGGGGGGAAGCAGTTCCATTTTTAGCCCTGACGGGAAGGGAATGTGCTCAGCTACCTTCTGCAGTAAAAAGACATCTTTTTATGGAACCTGCATGCACATCTGCTCCACTCTTTAAAAATGAAAGACATGACAGTTTAACTACAGGCCTGTTAGCTCGTGGCTAAACTGAAGTCACAAACAACTTCCTAGGAGCAACTTCAAAGAATGCTGTGGACGGATGCTCACAAGAGCACACTGCTTCTTTTCCATTGATCCAAATACCCAAGAGAGCAGAGATTTTGGAATAATGACCCTGGAAAATACTGTCTGTCTGTGCCTTTTCCAGTTACCTCAGGACTTGGAGAGGGGAAACATTCTGTTCCTCCTGTGATTGCTTTTAGATGTGCCAGGTTGGGCTCAAATTGTAAACAGGCAGCTGTAGCAGCTCCTGCCACTGCACACCAGGAGCACCCAGCAGGCAGCCAGGATCCAGGGTTACTCTGGGGCCCTGTACAGCTGAGTTCCCAATCCCATTTCATGCACAGTCCCACAGCTGTGGGAAACTCCTCGTGTCCAGCTCTCTGAGGCTGAGGTGCCTGGTTTTGGGGGGTGTGGTCACTTACTGCGTGCTCGGTGTCCATGGCCTGGGTGTCCTGGCTGAGGCTCTGCTCCTCAGCCCCCTGCACCGGGACGTAGTCGCTGAGTTTCTGCACGCAGCTGCAGCAGTGCTCCTGCATCTCCTCCCTGCAGCTGCCTCCGAACTGCACGCGGAACATGCGGCACTCGTTCTGCTCACAACCACAGGGACAGCAGATGAACTCGGAACCCCCTCCAGCTGCTTGGACTAAACCCATATTTGCTGGAGTTGGGAAGCAGGCAATAGATTTGTGGATAACTGGGCCAATTTAAAAACAAACAAACAGGTTCTCCTGCTGTATTTTCATTTTTCCCAGCAGCTTAACCAGAAGACTGTGACTGCTGATTTGAAAATCAGGTGAAAATATGCAAGAAAAGGGTAAGTGATGCAGGGCCACCTGTCACTAATTCAAGGTTTAGCCAAGTGGGCAAGCCTTGCCAGGACTCAGCTTTTAAATGTAGCAGGAAAATTAAGTTTTATTGTTGCTGTAGGTAGTATCCTGTAAGGGTGTGCCAGCTCTGCAGTTATTTGTGACAAAAAACACAACAGTAAGCAGAAGTTAACTCTGGATCTGAACTAGAAATTCTGGGAATGGCATGTTCCAGTTAGGGTTTATGTTCCTGATGCATCAAAGTCAACCCTACCTGCTCTGCCTGTGTGGAGCTAAACCAGCACATTCAGTTTGGCTCTCACCCGAATGTTCCCTGAACAGAAACCAGCACGCTGAATAGGAGTGCAGGAAATTCAAATGCATTACTTCAAAGAGTGAAATGATACTAAAAATTACTGAAAACTCCCAGATAGCTCTGACCCCTCCCGAGCAGGTTGTTGGGCTGTCCCATAATAGATATTTTTAGTAAGTGCCCCAGGTTCAGCAAAGTGCCCTGAAATGGGGATGGAATCTATGGTGTGTGATAAGCTTGGCCTAAGCACCTTGAGCTGACATAAGGGAGGTGCACATTCAGTGTTTAGAGAGTAAATGAATGGAACTTTCTGTTTGATCTTGAAATTTCAAATTTAAAAAACTTAAAGTACTAGAAAAGCAGCAAATTCTCTTGACCCAGCCTGGCTTATTTAGGTCTTCACCTTCCTAATGTTCCAATGTCAACCCCATTTTCAGTGCCCATTTTAATCCCACGCTGGAACACGAGGACACCTCTCACCTCACAGCTCCTGTCTCAGAGATGAGGCAGCCCTTCCTGACAGCCCCTGTGTTTACATGCCTGCTGCCTGAAGATGTTTGAATCCCATAAAAAGATGTTTAGGGCAGGGTGAGCACAAAAGCCTGTCTCAGTGCTTTTTAAAGGGAAAAATGTCAAACTACTGTGAAGTGTAGCACTCATTTGCCAGTGTCCAGTTGGATTTGCCCTCTTTAATTAAGGAACTGGGCAGGCTCTCAGAGCCAGGCAGTGCCAGACAGGTGAGTTCTGATTTCAGTGCACAAAAGGAACTTGGCTGGAGTTTCCTTAGGACACTTTCAAAGAGCACTTGCTTGTTTAGATCCCCAAATCAATTTTGAGGCTGAGCTATTTGGACTCCCTTGGGTTTCTCACAAGGACTGTTAAATACTTTAGTTTGCAGTTCATAAACAACAGTGGACTTTGAAAATTAAACATTGTTCCTTTGTGGAAAGAGAGCTGTGATATGTCAAGGTTTATAGCATAAACTGAGGCCTGGGCAGTCACACCTGAACCACGCAAAAGCTGAAGTATTAAAGAACCCTGATGTCATGGAATTGTTACATTTGTATCTCTTCCATGCTGGGGTGGGGGGCTGAGCCCAAGAAAAACAATATAAAGGGAAATGATTTATTGCAAAATTATCAAGAATTTTCATCTTGTTCCTGTTCATAGTTTTGAAACTCATTCTGCTGGCTAAGAGCCACAGTGCCCTACTGAAGCCCTGTTTGAAGGGATGAATAAGTTCCACTGTAAATGCAATATTCATGACTTACAAAAAACAAGATAAACCAGAAATTTATCATAAAGATGAGCACAGAAGCTGCATCCACTGTTAGGATATAAAGCAGAGAAGCTGTGTGGTAAAACCACTGCAGCTGAAGTTGGGTGAATTTATGGTAAGAAAACACTGAGATGCACCAAATTAACTTCAGGCTGTTAAAATTCCTCCTTTCCCCAAGTGCCCCTCAGAGCTTTGCTGGAGCCTGGCAGTGAGTGTGGTGTTGGCTTTGTCCTGCTGCTGAGGAGCAGCAGAATCCCTTGATGCTGCACTGGGGGGCTGGCTCTGGTAACTGGGAAGGAACAGCCTGCAGCTTCATCAGAACCAATTCCTGCCCCAGCTGCCTTCAGGTTTTCTAACAAGCTGATAGAAAGCAGAGTGCCCAGGTGTTTTGGTTTCAGGCATAACCTATGAATTGAAAACACTGAGGTACTTACAGAGTATCAGAGTTAATCTAAGAGCAAAAAACCCTGAGATTTTTACACAAACTGGTAATAAGAAGGTGCTGTTTGATTATTTAAAGGCAAACCAACCACTTTTCCTCAGGAGAGCTGAGTGGGTGACCAGAAACCCATGTCCATTTTGTTTCCTTGAGTACCAAACACCTTAACCACCAGTCTGCTGCTGCTGTGCCAGGAGCCACAAAATGGCTCAGTTATTGCTTGGTTAGAGAGTGTTTCCTGAAGTGCAGTCTGACTCAGAGGAATCTTGGAAGATATTTGCTTCATCTTTTTGTTAGTTGTGGCAGATAGATTGGGAAATAAAACCAGGCTGGCTGTTTTAGCAGCTAACTCTCAGAGAGCAGTCTGAAAACTGAATATTAGCAGTTACAAAGGATATTCAATATTCAATCCATTCCTGTTTAGTATCTAGAGTAAAAAAAAAAAATTCTAATTTACATAGATAATTTACACTTTCTAGTTTAATTTAGCCAAAAGGCAGAGGTTTTCCCCATCTGTGTTATGCATTAGGAACGTTGCAAGCAGCTGAGCTCACCTTGGCCTGTGCCCGGAGCAGCAGGCACTCTGCTCTCCTCACTATCTTCAGCCACTTGTGGCAATCAATCAGGGAAAAGCCTTCCTGAAATAAAGCACAAACAAGGTCCCAGCAAACAGCAGCACCAGGAGCATGTTTAAGTTCTGTGATGTAATTAAAGCCCTAATGAAGACCAGTCACTGCAGCTAGGCAGTTTTTGGAGCTGTCAAACAGCTGCGCTGTGGAAGTTTCACCACTCCAGGGATTAAATGCAGTAGCAGCACTGTGTCCAAGTATGTTCTCATTTCCACACCTCCGTGCATTTACATTTGTGCATGCTATGGAAGGCCCTGAAAAGCAGAATAAAGCAGCTGCGAGCGGAGCTCTGAGTGCTGAAGTTGCCCGGGAGGGCAGCAGAGGGCAGGCGAAGCCGGGGAATGCACAGCCCCGCTTCATCCCAGCCCCGGGGAGGCCCCGGCTCCAGGTGCCGCTCAGGGAGCCCAGCAGCAGCGCCGTTAATTGAATGGCTCAGTTATTGCTTGGTTAGAGAGTGTTTCCTGAAGTGCAGTCTGACTCAGAGGAATCTTGGAAGATATTTGCTTCATCTTTTTGTTAGTTGTGGCAGATAGATTGGGAAATAAAACCAGGCTGGCTGTTTTAGCAGCTAACTCTCAGAGAGCAGTCTGAAAACTGAATATTAGCAGTTACAAAGGATATTCAATATTCAATCCATTCTTGTTTAGTATCTAGAGTAAAAAAAAATTCTAATTTACATAGATAATTTACACCTTCTAGTTTAATTTAGCCAAAAGGCAGAGGTTTTCCCCATCTGTGTTATGCATTAGGAACGTTGCAAGCAGCTGAGCTCACCTTGGCCTGTGCCCGGAGCAGCAGGCACTCTGCTCTCCTCACTATCTTCAGCCACTTGTGGCAATCAATCAGGGAAAAGCCTTCCTGAAATAAAGCACAAACAAGGTCCCAGCAAACAGCAGCACCAGGAGCAAGTTAAGTTTAAGTGATGTAATTAAAGCCCTAATGAAGACCAGTCACTGCAGCTAGGCAGTTTTTGGAGCTGTCAAACAGCTGCACTGTGGAAGTTTCACCACTCCAGGGATTAAATGCAGTAGCAGCACTGTGTCCAAGTATGTTCTCATTTCCACACCTCCGTACATTTACATTTGTGCATGCTATGGAAGGCCCTGAAAAGCAGAATAAAGCAGCTGCGAGCGGAGCTCTGAGTGCTGAAGTTGCCCGGGAGGGCAGCAGAGGGCAGGCGAAGCCGGGGAATGCACAGCCCCGCTTCATCCCAGCCCCGGGGAGGCCCCGGCTCCAGGTGCCGCTCAGGGAGCCCAGCAGCAGCGCCGTTAATTGGATAAAGATGTTTTTGTACTCACTGTCAGTCTCTCAAACTCCACAGGCTGCTCAGCCTCCTGTAAAAGCACCACCATAAAGATGTTTTTGTACTCCAGTCGCATCACTGTCAGTCTCTCAAACTCCACAGGCTGCTCAGCCTCCTGTAAAAGCACCACAGGCAAGTGAAAAACAACTGCAAAGCAACGGACTGTGTGTCCCAAGGCACTCTGAGCCACTACTTAGCAAAGTCAGGGGAAAACCCAAACAATTAATCAATGTTAGGGCAGGAGGAAATCAGGCACCCGTTGTACCCAAACTCACAGTACTTTCAATGACCAAGGGCTTGAGCCCAGGCTGCTTTCAAGGGGTCCTAAGGGTCAAACCCCCCAAGTCCCATCCGTCCTGCAGGGCCAGTGGTGTTTGCACAGTCACACCCGTGTTAGGTGGGTCCAGGCTGCAAAGCCATCTGCCATTCTATTCTGGAACAGGAATCACCTCAGTGACTGCTGCTTTGCTGTGCTGGCACTGGCTTTACAGTCTCATGCAGCAACTGCATGTGCATTTTTAGCTGCACTTCACAGAGGAATCTCTCAAAACCCATGAAGAGTTGAAGCAAAGGCAGAGTGGATCACAGACTCTGCTGTGACAGCCTCCAGAATGCAGCCAGCAGGGAAGTACCATTCCCAAAAGAGCTGGGGTCAGAGGGACAGGAGAACTGCCCTGTGTGCTGCCAAAGCAGCTGAGGGCCAGTCCCTTGCAGTGTCTCTGTGCACTGAACACACTCAAAGTGCCCTAAGGCAGGACGTGCTAAGCTGGAAAGGACTAAAGGCCAGAAAACAGGGAGAGATCACCTGCTGAGCAACGGGGAGAGGCTGAACCAAGCCCCAAATGCTGTCAGTGAAGCAATTCCGAACCATTCCCTCACGAGGCCACTTTAAGTTGTGGCCACTTGTGCTTGTTCTGTTCATTTCAAGTAGTTTCTGTTTTGGAGACACACCAACTGTTTATTTAAATATAGCTATTCCCATATTCAGTCTGGTTTTACAGTGTTTTTCCTTTCACTGGAGATGAAGGTTGAACAAATGTTGTCTCCTATAAATAATAACTGTTTTCAAAGAAATTACAGAAGGCAGTCACTGTTTAATTTTCCTACCAACTTTTTTATTGATGTTTCCCAGGTTCTTTTATATGTTCTGTTTCTGAGGTAAAACAAGTGGGAAAAACTAGCGTTTGGAATTTTTATTTATGTACTCCCGATTACCCAACTCCAACCCTCAAGTTTGATTTAAGTGAAATATAACCACTTTATTTTTAAAATCATTGTCCCTGTATTCCCAGAATCCCAGCCTGGTCTGGCTTGAGAGGCACCCTAAAGGCCATGCAGTGCCACCCTGTGCCATGGGCAGGGACGCCTGCCACCAGCCCAGGCTGCTCCAAGCCTGGCCGGGTCACTCCAGGGCTGGAGCAGGGTGTGTGAAGTCAGGGGAATGAACCAGAGCAGCAAGAGGGGAGAACACAATGAACGTGTCCCTTACCTGCTTGAATGAACCAGAGCAGCACGAGGGGAGAACACAATGAACGTGTCCCTTACCTGCTCTCTGCCAACACCCAGCAGTGGGGCGTGGGGCACGCCTGGGAACGGCAAGGCAGTGTTTTGGGATTCCATGAAGGCAGGAGGATCCCTGCCAACACCCGGCAGCGGGGCGTGGGGCAGGCCTGGGAACGGCAAGGCAGTGTTTTGGGATTCCATCCACTGTGCCTTCCCACAGGTGATGGACTGACCCTCGACACGCTCGGGGTGTGGGCGACGGCACAGAAAAAAGCAGTGTTCCGTCTGGATTGGTGCTGCCACCAGGCTGCAGAGCAGGGAACAGAGCGGCTGCTCCCCTTCCCTTGTCAGGGACTGCACAGAACTGTGCCAGGCTGCTCCCCTTCCCTTGAGCAGGGACCGCACAGAACATGCCAGGCTGCTCCCCTTCCCTTGTCAGGGACTGCACAGAACTGTGCCAGGCTGCTCCCCTTCCCTTGAGCAGGGACCGCACAGAACATGCCAGGCTGCTCCCCTTCCCTTGTCAGGGACTGCACAGAACTGTGCCAGGCTGCTCCCCTTCCCTTGAGCAGGGACCGCACAGAACATGCCAGGCTGCTCCCCTTCCCTTGTCAGGGACTGCACAGAACTGTGCCAGGCTGCTCCCCTTCCCTTGAGCAGGGACCGCACAGAACATGCCAGGCTGCTCCCCTTCCCTTGTCAGGGACTGCACAGAACTGTGCCAGGCTGCTCCCCTTCCCTTGAGCAGGGACCGCACAGAACATGCCAGGCTGCTCCCCTTCCCTTGTCAGGGACTGCACAGAACTGTGCCAGGCTGCTCCCCTTCCCTTGAGCAGGGACCGCACAGAACATGCCAGGCTGCTCCCCTTCCCTTGTCAGGGACTGCACAGAACTGTGCCAGGCTGCTCCCCTTCCCTTGAGCAGGGACCGCACAGAACATGCCAGGCTGCTCCCCTTCCCTTGTCAGGGACTGCACAGAACTGTGCCAGGCTGCTCCCCTTCCCTTGAGCAGGGACCGCACAGAACATGCCAGGCTGCTCCCCTTCCCTTGTCAGGGACTGCACAGAACTGTGCCAGGCTGCTCCCCTTCCCTTGAGCAGGGACCGCACAGAACATGCCAGGCTGCTCCCCTTCCCTTGTCAGGGACTGCACAGAACTGTGCCAGGCTGCTCCCCTTCCCTTGAGCAGGGACCGCACAGAACATGCCAGGCTGCTCCCCTTCCCTTGTCAGGGACTGCACAGAACTGTGCCAGGCTGCTCCCCTTCCCTTGAGCAGGCAGCGGCTGCGGCTGCTGCCGCCAGGCAGGCAGGGGCAAAGCCAGAGGGCAGTGTAAGATTAACCAGAATATCCCCAAAACACAGCCTAGAACGGGGCAGGGGCACGAGAGCCCAAATGTTCACCATGTGAGGAGAGAAACGGCAGCACTTTATTAAGTTTGGTCATCGATGTTCAGTCAGGCACACACCCCTGTTGTTCTTCATGACTGAACTTGTAACAAAAGTGGGGTAAAGGAAAGCTCTTTCCTACATCTGTGACCAAAATCTAAGTTTCTCAGAGGGAGGACTGAGTGGAATTAAGCTGAAGGGGAAAACAAAGCAAGATGTTTCCCAAATGTTTTGGAAGCAGGCAAGATGTGACCACAGCTGCCACGAGGCAGGAGCCAGAAATGCTGATCCAGCCTCACAGCCATGGAGTCCAGCACTGCCTGGGAAATACTTTTGTTCTGACTTCACATTTGAGCATTCAGAAACCTGCTGGGTAATGAGGGCTGTGAGCTGTGCTGGAAGGTATTGTGTGTGATTTATGAATATTTTTTATTGTAGCATTTAGAAACCCTGTGGAGCTAAACAACACAGGAATAGATTATCTGTGTTTTGTTAGACTGCAGCCTATCTGAAGGAAAATGACTTTGTGTCTAAGAAATGTTATTTGTGCAGCAGTTCAGCTGTGCTGGCTTGCATCTCTTGGTTTGGACTCACTCATGCACAAGGCAGATGTTTCCAAACAAAACTCTCTGTAAAGAATAGCTTAGGAGGAAAAGCTTTTCCTTGGTCACAAACATGGTCTAGTCTGCCCTTAATTCACAACCAGTATTTAAAAATACAAACTAAAGCCCGGAGTGCTATAGAGAAACATCTCCAGTCTGGGCTGCCCTTCTACCAGGCCCATGAAATGCAAATCCAGCAGTGTGTTCTCAGTTTACAGCTCAAAGGAAGGTAGGGGCTGAGGGTAAGGACTCAGCTGTGGCATTTGCAGGACAGGATGAGGTCAGCTTCTGACCTCATGGTTCCTGCTCTGGACTTGACTCTGTGTTTTGGTAGGGATTTTTGAGGGGTTTTTTTAATTCTTTTTTTTTTCTCTGGGGATTTTTCTAGTTTTTAGTTGTCTCTGTTTCTTTAGGGAGGTCTCAACACTGACAGGTGTTCTTCACACAGGATTGCAACTTAATGGGCTTTTTGGGGTTTTTTTGTTAAGGTTGGGATTAAATGGTAAGATGGTATTTTTGTTTATATGTAGATGTTTATGAGTTTTTATTTATGTTACAGTATTTTGTTATAGTATAGTGTTTATGTTATAGTATTTCACTCAGATTCTATGCTGAGCGATGGTAACACTATTTAAAATGACCAAAGACAGTAAACATGAATAGCTTAGGAAATGAGGAGATTTCTTATTGCTGGCATTTACCTAATGGATGCTGACAAAGTGTTTTAAGGACACTTTTGCTCCCCCCATATGAAGATACAACAGAATGATTAATATGTGCAGCATGCCACTGTGGCTGAGAACAAATTAAAAAGCTGTGGGAGTGTCTTAACAACTACAGGACTATAGTATAGTATATATTATATAGTATTTTTATTTATGTTATAGTATATAGTGTAATATAGAACATTATACAGTATGTTATACTATAGTATACTATAATATAATATACTATAGTGTACTATTATATATAGTATATAGTATACTATTATATTATATTATAGCATACTATAGTATACTATAATATACTATAGTGTACTATTATATATAGTATATAGTATACTA